GGGCGACAGAGTGGCGCGCGGCGAGCGAAAAATTACATCTCCGAAGTAATTCGTTACGGCTACACGAATTAGACAGGGACTTCAATAATTGTTGAACCTGCTTAATTTACAGTTTTTAACCTCCCAAAATATACCTCGTTTGTCTTTCCTTACTTCTTTGGTTGGCGTGCCCCCCCCCCCCTCCCCGTGCTGATGCGCGCGCAGAGCGCGAGTTTTGGCGCAACAAAATCGCACATGACTTTTTAGGACGGGGAAGGAAGAAAAAAGGCAGTGAATTGGGGGGGGGGGAATGATTTGGGGGTCATGCACGACTCGTTGATCCGGAAGCAACTCCACGCAATCACCGTCATCGCCAGAGAGAGAGAGATAGATAGAGAGTAAAGAGAGAGAGAGAAAGACGCAGAGAGAGGTGGGGGGGAGGGGAGATGAGCTTTTCGCTGGTGCCGCATTGGTGGATCCTGCAGCGGGCGCGCGGCGGTGAGCGCGTTTCTCGTGTGATCCGATTGCAGCTCACCGGGACTGGCATGGACCCGAGCTCACCTGTCCGCCGCAGGCGGATTGAGGCCGGTGGAGGGAAGGCTACTTGTGCTCTCTGCCGCTCTGCTATATTTGGCACCTTCATGGTCGCCAAAGCTGGAGACACAAAAAAAAGATGAGGCCCCCTCTTGCGTTAGAGGCTGTGCGTGCGTGTGTGTGTGTGTGTGTTTGTGGCTCGGGACAAAGGTGTATGGATGTTTTCCGACAATGAAAAAGAGGAGAGACGTTCTCTCGTCCTCAGATAGAGCTGCGCACCGCTGAGCGCCGCGGATCTGAGCGGCCCGCATGCGAACGCACGCACATGGCTGGGTCCGATAGGCGGCGGGGGCGGAGGGAGGCTGTACCTTGGAGCTTGGAGCCGTGCGAACAATCAGCGCCTTGTCCATTGCCCCTGTGTGCGTGTGATCGGGACAAGGCGCAAGGTGCTGATCTTTTCTTGTTTTCGAGACGTGAAGCTGTAGTGTGTGTATATACGCAAAAAAAAATAGCATTGTCTAACCAGATCCGCTTTTTGTTTCTGTGTTGCAGATCTGGATCAAGCCGAGTCAACATTCCCACTGGACCCACTCAAGAGAAGAAACGGGAAGCAAAAAGTATTAAGAAACAAGAAAGGCAAATTGTGATAGAAATTTCGTAACAAGCCACCAGATAGTACAAGGGCTGCCTTCTAGTCCTCTCCGGCGCCGCCCGCCGCCCAGCCACGATTCCCTCTCGACCAGGCGAGCACACCGCCGGTCCTGGCGGCCAGCGAGTGCCGCCCCCAGTAGTAGCACCCTCCCCGACGTCGTCGCTGTCCCCGGGCCCACCGTGCCCGCCCCCCGCCGCCATCCTGGAGGACCCCATCGGCGCCAAGATGCACATTGAGGTGCAGGTCGCCCTCAACTTCGTCATCTCGTACCTGTACAACAAGCTGCCCCGCCGGCGGGTCAACATCTTCGGCGAGGAGCTGGAGCGCGCGCTCAAGGACAAGTTCCGCGGTCACTGGTACCCCGAGAAGCCGTTCCGCGGCTCGGCCTTCCGCTGCCTCAAGACGGGCGACCCCATCGACCCCGTCCTGGAGCGCGCCGCCCGCGAGAGCGGCGTCCCCGTCCAGGACATCCTGGAGAACCTGCCGCACGAGCTGGCCGTCTGGGTGGACCCCGGCGAGGTGAGTACCAGGGGTCTACGCACATCGCGAGAGACCCACTTTAGAGCTCACCATCGTCGTCTCCGCTGTTGTCGTTTTTTTTTATGACTTGTTTTTTGCCGGGTTATTTTGAAGTGCCGTGTGCCGTGCTCGTCGCCGCACGACTAACTATCCGACGCTATTGCAGTAAAATGCAAAGCTGGTTGGCCAAGAACAAGAGCTCGCCCTTGTGGCATTGCCAGCCCAGCCAGCTCGCGGGAAAGAGGGAAGAGGGAGGGAGGAGACGTCCCTTCGAGGACGGGCAAGACGGGGAACACATGTGCGCGGGGGCGTGTGACCACTGGCGCTGACCGAAGTATACACTATTCGTAAATAACGAAAACGGAAGTACGTTTCTTGAGCCTGTAAAGCTCGCTGCGTCAGAATAAATCATCGCAATAAGCGACTCAAGAGAGTAATTTCGAAAAAAAAAGTTGCACATTTTTGTTGCTAATTTGATTGTTGACGAGATTGCACCCGATCGTTGTAGACACATGATTGCCCTAGTGACGCTCTATCGTTTTCAAACGGCGACGTAACACGGCGAGTGATTATTCCTGGCACACAACAGCGCGCTTCTTTAGCACCCTTCGACCGCCAGTCTTTCTGTCTGCTCTGAAAAAAATATGTAGGAAACGGTCTGACCGTGATCTTGGGTCGGTTGTCATGCAGACTAGACTCACTCGTCGGCCTGGCATGCGCGTTGCGCTAGCGCTCTGCTTGTCCTCGACCGACAATCCTCAAAGAAAACTTTAACTTGTCGGAAAACGAACTGTTTGGGGGCCAGGAGGAAGGGATTGAAGTTGAAAGGGAGGGGGCAGGTTCGGGGGTGGAGTAGGAGTGTGGCCCGGTGCTGCCAACATACCGCCGCCGAGGTGTCCTCGCGCTGGATTGCTGCATGCACTAGTGCCAACATCGCTAACGAGCTGCAGGCGGTCCCCTCTTTCTCTGCGAGGGCATGGGGGGGGGGGGAGAAAGGCAGGGAAGGAGAGCGAGGGAGAGCTTGGGAAAGAGAGAGAGAGAGAGGACCGGAGACGCTTCTGTGCTGGGGTGAGCCGGCGAAACAAACCACCCCTCTTCGCCTTTAATTTCTGGTGTTTCGGGGTGTGCCAATGGCTTTGCTCAGGGTGATGTTGTTTCTCCTCCCCCTCCCCGTTGACCGCACAACCAGCAGCGGCTCATTCCCACGGAATTATATTCTTATTTTTTTAAGACGTGAAAAAAACAAAACTCAGACCCGCCGAGAAAGCTAGCAGCCACCCTCTCTCCCACCCCCAGCCGGTGATCCCCCCCCCCCTCCAGTCCGGCGGGGGTGTCGTTGACGGCGCAATTAGACTTTCTGATTAGGTCCAACTTTTCATATCTTCCAGCCTGGACTTTTGTTTCTATACTCTCTATCGCCGCCGCCGCTCCCCGACGACGGTGGTGGTTGCCGAACGAACCGGACAGAAGGTGGGGGCGGGGAGGTGGGAGGTCAGGGAGGGTCTGCGTGAAGGCGCCGCCGCCGACCCTGTGCGGTAGGCAACCTCGGCCAGCAGGCAGCAGCAAGCGGCAGACCCCGCCGGCGCTGTGGGCGACAAGAAAATGAATGAAAAACTAGTTGATATTCAGTGGCGGTCGCGGTTTCAGTCCTGGCGCTCGCGCCCCGGGCCTGGCTGTGCTGTGTGCACTTTGCTGCTCTGGCACTCTCGGGCGAGTTCGTTGATCCTCCCCTCCAAACGCACCCTCTCCCTCTCTCGCTCCTCTCTTTCCACCCTGCTACCCTCCCAAATATATCCAGCAGGACATGCTCTTTCCCCCTCCCCCCCCCTTCCCGTCTCTCTCTCTCTCTCCCTCTCTCTACACCACTTTTCCGGGCCTGATTAGCCCCTCTGACCACCATCGTTATGGACGACAGTGTTGGTTGGAGAGAGCGTGGGATGGACAGAGAGGGAGAGTAGCGGAGTCATCGCTCCACTTTATTAGCGAACATGCATACGGGACGGGTGGTGGCGAAGTGCCGGCGTAAATCATTAAGCAGCCTTTCAACCCGCCCCCGCCGCACAACCCCGCCCCGCCCCGCCGCACCCCGCTCCAGGCCGCCCCCTTTATGGTCCACGGGGGCGTAAGACACCACCGCGCCCTCCCCTTGCCCCGCCTCTCCCGGCCACCACGCGCCAGCGACTCGCCCAAAGTGCATGGCCAGCAGGCGAAAACGAGATTTATCTGGCGTTACTTTATTTTCCTTGCGCGGAATGTTTTGCCCCATTTTCGGCATCTTTTTCTGTCGCCGGCTAACGCGCGCGCTCGCTCGCCCAGCCAACGGCCACAGCCCAACCCCTATCCGTCTTATCTCTCTCTCCCTCTCCCACCCCCTCAGGCCTCCCCCTCCCCCCCCCCCCCAGGATGCTGGTGGTGTTGTGGCTTGCCCTCCCTCGCCGGGGCGTCCGCAGGGGGTGGCGCGGCGCGGCGGGAGCTTGCTATGGCGTGCTCAGAAAGGGGTGAGCGTCCACCATACCGTGGCAGATTTGTGCCCTCGTGGACCATCGTCGGGGCAAAAGCGGCTCCCCGGGGGGTGCCGGCGCCGTCCTGGGGCCGCCCGACTCCTTGCCCCCACAGGGGTCGAGATACCCCCCAGGGAAGGAGGGGTTTGGGGTGACGGGGGAGCAACGGAGATGAAACAATATTTGCAAAGTCAGCAGACGCGTCGCGCCGTGAGGGGGGGGGGGGAGTACGTAGGAAGGCGGCAGGGAGGCGCCGAGCACGTCGCCGCCATTGCGGTGGCGGCGTGCTTCTGGGGAGGCCGGCGACGACGATAGAGGGGCGCAGAGTAATCAACGAAACCGCGCAAAGTAGTTTGGGATTAGCGGGGGCGATCTATCGCCGTGCGGAGGGGAGGGTGTGGGTGGTGCGACCAGTCGATCACACACACATACACACACACACACGTGAGAGGGAGCGGGGGGGGGGGGGAGGGGCAGTTTGAGGTTAGCCCTCCGGAGCTGCCGGGCGGGGAGCAGTCGGAAAGGAGATCTGTAAATAACGTCCTCCGCCCGACGGATCTATCCATCCATCCATCCCCGTTGCGTTGCTTCGCGTTCAGCCGCGCCACGCCGCGCCACGCCGCGCCATGGAACCCGCGGGGGGCGACGGGCGAGGCCGGCGCGCCGAGTCCCCAAGTTGCAGCTAATCTGATTCCAGCACTCTGGGCGACCACCCCTTTGCATCCTAGCTGGCCGGGGCCGGGGCACGGCGGGCCTCGGGCCGACCGGGGCCGCCCGCTGGCCAAGGTCGGCTAACTTCGCCTTCCTGTGCTCTGCGCCCCGGACGGCCGGGGCCCGGGGCCCGGGGTACCACCCAAGTTTGTCCGGTCTGGGAGTCTTGTCCCCGAGCTGTTGCTACCCAGCCCCCTGCGCTGCTGGACACAAACTTGGTTACGGACAAACTTTTTCTCTCCGTCCGCCCTCAGAAAAGTGCTCGCCGCCTGGCCGGACACTGGAGGGCAGCTGCCCCCCCCCCCCTCTCCCGGCTCGGCTAGACTGCGGTGTTTCTACCTCGTTTCGTCCTCAGGATACAGAGAACCACCTGCTCGGTGTAACTCCTCTCCATAGGGAGAGCCGAGGGAGGGGGGGGGTGTCCCTCCACGTCCTCCAGCTTGACCGTGCTCCGTCCGGGGGCGCAGGTCTCGGTGCAGGTGGACTCCGAAGCGCGTCGCAGTAGCCCTCGGGGCCACTCATTAATTCATTGATTAATGACCTCGTACACTGGAGCGATGCGTAGCACTGTCGGGGGAGGGGAGGGGGCGGAGCGGCGGAGCGCGTGGGCGTGAAGCCGACCCTCCAGGGGGCGACCTTTTCCGGTTCCGCGTATCGAGCGCCCCACCAGGCCCCTCCCCTCCGCTCGCTACCCCCGGCGCGCCCCTCCGGCGACACCCTCGCGCGCGGCCTGGGCCACCCGGCCCAGAGGGAGGCCGCCCCCTCCGCCTCCAGCGCTCCGCCCTCCATGCCCTGCCTCACGCCCCCACCCCCGGCCCGGCCCGCTCCGACTGAGGCGGCCGCATCTAAAAAAGGCTGCTTTTCTCGAAACTTGTGCTTGGTTTCGCAGGACTGATCGGCACGGGCGCTCGCTGCGGCTCTCGTTCCCGAGCACCGTGATCACCACATCCTTCCCCTCCAACACAGTCTTGGTACACTCTCTCGGGTACACTCCACTTCAGAGCCCGAGCCCGGCCGCCCCCGTGCGCCTGCCCGGCCCGGCGCGGCACGGCGGCCGTGGCGCGGCGTTTGTAGGGTAGCGGCCACTTTACGTCCATGAAGCGGAGCACTGTATGTGGGGCCCGTAGTGCCAGTAGTGCTGATTGCGGGAATGTCCCTCTTCCTGTGCCACACGGCGGCACGGCGGGGCGGGGTGGCGCGGGGGGGCCGTGACAGAGCGAACTCTGTTTACTTAACCTCCCGATTTCCCTCTCCTCCTCTTTTTTTAAAAGGACAATTAACTTAACTACATGTTTCTTTTCTCTGCCCGATAGGTGTCGTACCGCATCGGGGAGAAGGGGCAGGTGAAGATCTTGTTCAGCGACAAGCACGACCTCAGCGACGACCACCTGGCGGATCGCGAGGTCACCAAGACGTTCAACCCTGAGGCGCAGTGCTTCCGGCCCATCGAGGCGATGCACCACGCACCGCACCAGCACCAGCAAGTCCACCAGGGCCACCAGGGAGGCCACCAGAGTCACCAGGGCGGCCACCAAGGCGGCCACCAGGGCCACCAGGGCCATCAAGGCCACCAGGGCCACCAGGGCCACCAGGGCCACCAGGTCCAGCAGGGCCAGCACAGCCACGGGCACGGGCACTCGGTGGTGCCGGGGCTGGTGCTGCCCCTGGGCAGCGGGCCCGCCTCGCCCTTCGAGCAGCCCATCAACGGCGTGGGCACCATCGGCCAGCCGCTGTCGCTGCCCCTGGGGCCGAACCTTGGCCCCGCCGGGGCCGCCAGCGCCACCAACAACCAGGCGCTAAGCATGGGCCAGCCCCTCGGCCAGCCCCTCGGCCAGCCCCTCGGCCAGCCGCTGGGCCAGCCCTCCACGCCATCCTCGGCGCCCAGCCCCATCCCCTACAAGGGCTCGCCCAGCCCGGTGACGCCCTTCCTGCCGCGGTCCTCGGCGCCCCTCACCTTCACCACTGCCACCTTCGCGCAGACCAAGTTCGGCTCCACCAAGCTCAAGACCAACAGCAAGCGTGCCAACAGGTAAGCGCCTCGGGTGCATCATATAACAAAACAGCGAATTGTAGCCTCGTGAAATTCCGACCGCGAGCAGCAAACATCACATTTGAAGCCAAAGGCTTTATTGTCAGCATCACGTACCTGGCCCATGAAAAAGGCTCGGCGATTCCTTTTGCGCTGCCGGTCGTTCAGAATTTCGTGAACCCTCAACAATAAAAGTATATCCGTGAAACTGTAGTTAACCTTCGCCGCCTGGTACCCACTGGCTCCGATGGGTAGTCAGTAGTCACCCCCTCCCCAGCCTACCCCATTCCGGCCGATCGCGCAGAGCATCGCGGCCCCGGCGCGCGTGAGCTACCCCATCGCCCTATCGGCGGCGAGGCGGCGGCGGCGTGTTCCCGACCAATAGATCGCCCCGCGGATAAGACGTCTGCAGTGGATCCCGGGCGGGCCGGGCGGGCGGGCTGCCTACCTCCGGCCAACCCCAAGACCCCCAGGATCAACGGCCTCGCCCTTATCTGCCGTGGCATGCTCTAGCCGCCACGTCGACGCCGACGACTCCCAAACGCCCGCCTCTCGCACGGCGGTTCGTGGGTGTTTCCCCTGCTGACTGCTGACCCTCACTTTCTTGTCTGCAGGATGTCGCCGACCGAGTTCTCCAACTACATCAAGCAGCGCGCCATGCAGCAACAGCAGCAGCAGCAGATGCACCACCACGGCGGCCCCGTCGGCCACCACCACATGCCGCCCGCCTCGCAGCTGTCCCCGCAGGGCGGCGGGGGCCGCTCGCTGTCGCCCAACATCCTCACGGACCCCACCAGCTTCTTCTTCCCGCCGTCACAGTACCCGCAGCAGCATCAGCAACAGCATTTCGGCCCGCCCAACGGCGTCAACGGCGTGAGCGGCGTGAGCCCCCGCGGGCTGTACGACTCCAGCTCGGGCCCGTTCCTGGACCTGTACTCGTCCTCCAAGGGCTACTCCAACTTCCTGGACCATCATGGAAGTTACTACAACAGCTCGGGCGGATTCGGCTCCGGGTCCGCGACTCCGGGTCCCATCGGCTCCGGACTGTCGAACGGCGGCTCGGGGGCGGGCTCTGGGGGCGGCAGCCACAGCCCGGGGGTCATCGGCGGCGGCCTCGGCTCTGGGTCGTCCTCTTCCGGCATGAGCGGTGGCCTCGGGGGCGTGGGCTCGGGGAGCGGCAACCAGTCGCAGGCCGAGAAGCAGCTCCTGGACGGCTTCAACAGCTTCGGCCTGGGGCCACACCCCAGCAACAACCAGTACCAGCACTTGCTGGTCGCTAACTAAAGCGTCCGCCGGCTCGGATGCAATGCGTAGTCGATTTCTTGTTCTTTTTTAAAACAAATATTATGTATTGTTTTTTTAATGGTTCATTGTTGCTTGTCAAGGCATGGTAGGGTCGGGTTCAATCAGAGATTGTGACCTGAGATTCGAACCCACGTCTTGTTGCGGTTTATCGTTGTAAAAAACGTGGGTTCGAAGAGAAAAGCCTCCCCCTGTGTGCTTTAATGACCTACATTGGTCCTAAATTGCATGTTTACATGTTTTTCATCTGTTTCCTGTTGGTTTTTTAAATCTTTTATTTTTCTTTTCTTTGTTTTAAGATAGTTTGCGGTTTTTGTGTCCTTTTTTCCTTAATTGCCTTAACTTGGCGTGGGGAGCTCTGAAAGGTTTCATATCTGATCTGAGTAAGATGGTGATTCATTGTCGTTGCCGAGGAATGGCGCGTGCAGTGTATTTTAAATAACTGTGGATATTATTGTGGGTTCATTTTTTATTTTTGTATCTCTTTGTAATAAAAATCCAGTGTGAATGTGTTATAAAAATCGAGATGTGTAGAGTGTATGGAGAATACCCGGGGAGCAAACGCAGAGCTAATGAATTCTCGCACATCAAAAAGATGACTGGAGTGTCTTTGGTGCACTGGAGATGTTTGAGTTTTTCTCTAACAGGAGATAACGCATACCATAGCAGGGGACGCATTCGCATAATTCCGCAAACAAACAGCCAAATGTCTTTAAAAAATGATAAAAAAATAATCGCAGTGTACATTCGCAAGCGTGTTTCGAAATTCTACGGATCTTCTCTATCCTTTTTATAAATTTTAGATTGTAATTATTGTAAACTAATTACCAACTCTTATTCTAATTATTCGTATTCTCCATCCAGTCCCTAGAAACACCTTTCAAGTGTTCTATCTAGTTTTGGGGCCCTCTCTGGCGGCCGCAGTGTGCTCTGATGAGTTTGTCTCGTTAGTTTTGCGTTTGAAAGTTCTTACCACGATTATTCTCATCTACGGCATAGGCTCATGAATTCAGTATTACTTTTGTATCACAGAAACCGCCGGTTGGTTTCTAATTTGCAAGTTAATTTGCAAGTTAAATTTTCAATCACACGGAAAGACACTTTGTTATCCCTATCTTGCGGCACCCGTTAAATATCTTTTTGTACAGAAAATCCGGGCTGCAGACAGTTTAGTACAATTTTACATTATAATGCAATCATGTCTGCAGTGAGCCCGCGTGAGATAAGATATGGATTTTGTTGTATACTGACAATATGAACACCGTACAAGTTCCGTTTCACTGTACTGCGTGTTGTATTGCGGAAGTGTAACCAGGATATATTTTTTGTAATAAACAACAGTTTTATACGTTCTTTTAAAAAAACATTAACGTGTTATGTCCTTTGATAATTTAATAATACTTGTTTCCAAAGTAAAGGGGACTGAGATTTTCGATCATGCCAAAAAAAGGGAAGATGCAACAAGTTGTGGTTTTACAATCATTATGTTTTTCACGTTTAATTTGCGAGGTGCAGGGTGCAGACGCCCAATGCATATCGCTAGTCAGCCAACTCGGTGCGTGGCCTCTGCGCCGTCCCATTCAAACGCGCTCTGCATTTCAAAAAGTAAAAAATTTCCCCGGCTTAGATCATACGATAAATGTGTTCATTTGCTTTATTTGCGGATGTTACTTGTAACGCCGCCTTAAAGGTTCATAATCTCTGTCTTCTGGGACAAAACCTACGAGTTAAGCCTTACGATAGTGTTTTATATTATTCGGCCGCGGTATGGAGCCGGCTGTCGAGCGCTCGCAGGCTGCGGGAGGTTACTCATCGCTTGTTTGGTGTTTCGCTTTATGGAGTCGCATCTAAAATGTATACCTATTGTCCCTCTATCTTGCGAGTTAGTAGTTGTAATTAAAAATAACCTTTCCTTTGAGGTCTCCATTGCGTAGTCAAGAGAGCAAAAGTATTAGCAACTTTTTTCAAAATTGTAGACTTAAAAAAAACCTTATCTAAATGAACGTAGGCTCGTGTTTTGGATCTTGATCTTTATGTATACATATACCTATATATACAAACTATACATTTAGATGTACTCGTGTAAAATGTTTCATTCGATTGATATTCTCTCGGCTTGTCTATTGCCTACACAGGAGTTGGTGCTGTGCGCCACACTTCAGTCATTGAATGCGAATCCCTCTCTGAGAGTTTCGAATTGTTCTGTTTGATCGGTTTGACGGGTCGTGTGATATTCCGGTTGATTCGCTGCAGCGCGTAGACTCATTGCCTCCGAAGTGTTAGTCCTGTAGCTATGCGGGAATCTGTCTTGTTCTGAACCTCCCATAATCGGTCACAGAAAATCCAAGGTCTTTCAAGCAATTCACACTGACTAACATATTCTAAAATAATCGACAAAAAGTACTGTGACGAGGCCACCGGGCTAAATATCTTTTAGATCATACATTTGAGTTCCTTCAATTTAAGCGGATCATTAAGTTTTTCCTTATGCATCTTACAGATCAGCAGTAAGGGATACCTGTTAAGTTAAACCAAAGTGAATAGTGACATTACGTTACCTAAATTTATTAACTTTCAAACTGATTGTAGTTTTATGCCATACGCTCAGTGAGTGTATA